TTCATAAAGTCCAAGTGACACAGACAAAATGTGGAGCCCTGAAAGTTAAAGGTACTGTATCTATAAAAATTGTATTCTTCCGGTTGGACATCAAGACTATTGGTCCTCCTAATTGTCAATCATTCTGGTGAAATGCTAGACACGTTTTAATAGATGTTCCCTCTGAGAAGTGCGGTTCTTTCCTAAAATTTGTGAAAATCCTTCTATATAACTTTAAGAGATGGGACACAAGGCCTGCTAAAACCAATAACAGAAATAAGATGAAGGGAAATGTTTGTTGCTGCATAGAAAGTGTTCTGGATTTTAAAGCTCATATAGAAATTCTGTTACCTTGTCACCTAAAGGGTCAACAGTTTTTACATTCCCAATTAATACAGAGATTTTTGAAAGGGAATTCTGCTCTGTGGATGTTAGCAACTGCCTGAAAAGAGTAAAAACAGAGCAGCAGAAGTTCCCAGTCTGAAGTACCCCACCTAAATTAACTATGGGGAACGAGGCAGCAATGCAAAGTCTACTTTAAAAGAGCAACATTGAAAACATTACGAAGCAGCGCAGCAGGCTTCTCCCTCTAAACGGCTTTACAACAGCGTCTCACCTCCTCCTTGCTCATCCTACTCATCACTCACACATGGAAAAGGGGGGCGGTCGCACACGTCTGACTCCAAAGGGGCCTTGGTTTGACAGGCAGCCCTCCACAGTCCCACGCTGAGGAGACAGTTTGCTGCTCACGCGCACAAACGCGTACACCCGAGTACACACACGTACACACACATACGCACGTACGCTTGAGCAGATCCATTCTCACGCTGCCACAACCATCACGGCCGCTGTTGTGTCTGTGTCGCAGCACTTTCTCCTCCGACAGAGCGCCGCAGTCACCTAAACGCTCACTGTCCATCACCTGACAATGATTCCAGTCCACGCCGCATGCTGAGTAAGCGAGAAACTGTGTGGGATCTAACCGGCGTTGTATCGTTTGAGAGACCGTGCCACACATACAGTAGGCCCACTGATTTTACAAATGTCATCATCTGCTGGTTTTAAAAGGGACATGAAAAGGTAAATTGAACAGCTTTTGACTCCCCCCTGTCCATAGCACCAAGCCCTTCCTCTGGGTCTTTAAGTACTGTACGTGGATCGCCAATTTTCTTTTCTAAATTCATGATATGAGAAGGAATCGCAAACCTTTTTTTGCATCTGCATCCTTTTTGCTCGAAAGAATCAATTATCCTTGCATAACAATTCGGTCTGCCTTTGATGTAAACATGATTCACTGATGTTGCGTTTAGGGGCAATCTGTGAAGCCATTTTGCAGGATTAAAAAAGGACTTTAAAACACCAGGCTCAGAGATTATCATAATAGAGCAGGGGTGTAAAATCGGTCCTCTTAGGGCTGGTGTAGCTACAGGACTTCATTCCAACCAAGCAGGAGCACACCAGTCTCCACCCATTTCCTTATGTGAGTCTTAATCTATAGTTTGGAATGAAATCCTGTAGCCACACCAACCTTTTCTTGACAACCCTTGCGTTAGAATTGAAGCGAAAGTGGACAGTCTACAGTTTATATGGCCCCATATCTTAACATGGACTACATTTCACACGACGATATCCCAACTACCCAACTACAGATGAATAGAGGCTGGACAATTGACCGTGCAGCTGTGTCATGGACATAACAAAACAACGAGGCACTTTTCCCTGTGTATAAAGCTATGCTAAAGGTGTAACTGTGTGGTTGCCGTACGAGTACCACTCATTCCATGCCTTCTGAAACACAACTCCGGACTACATTCACATTATTTGTAATTTTATTCACAACCAAACTTCATAATCGGCTTGTTTTGACCAAAACTTGTAAACCGAAAAAAAATTGTTTTTGTTTTGATTATTCATTTCTTTGGATATTGGTCAACAGAAAACCGTTTCATCTACACAAGAACAATTACATATCCAAATGTGACATCACTCCTCAACCCTTTCATGTGTTAAACTGCTAATGCTTTTCTTTCTCAAAAGGCAAACTTGACGTTCGGAATTCCCGCAGTTTGCTTTGACAAGAGCTGAAAGGTTATATTAAAGTTGAAAGCAAAGGACGCATTACACCTGCAGTGCTAATGAAATGGACTAACTATTCATATGAGGTGAAATGATAGAGATGTTGACAGACGGGTTGAAAACAAGAAAGAAGGGAGTGGTCTGACCCAGATAATTCTCCCACACACCCCTTCTTTCAATGACATCCCCCATCCCCCATTGTCAATCAATCAAGTCTGAAATTTCACATAGCAGCTATACAGCACGAGTGGCCAATCATCCTACCTACCACTATGACAGAAAATTACACTGGGTTATTTTCCCTCAGCACAACAAGTCGCTCGGGCTTTGAATTGCTTGGTGAAATGAAAAGCTTTTTTTCCCCCAATAATTTCCCTCCAATAGATTGCCAATTAATTCGAGTAACAAGGCAGCCCTGTGTAAGCCACCTTCACCCCTAAACGTTGGGAAAACACAATAATTAATTTCACAGCGAGTGCTCGCGGGACGCAAAGCCAATCAAATCAATCTGCTTTTTATACGCAAATCCTTTTAGTTTGTTTTCTTGCATAAAACAGAGCCTAATTAGTATTTTTTGACCCTGTGTGTAACAACGGTCATTTCTACCTGCGCGTGTGGCAACGCGCAGGGCCACTAATGGAAGCTAATGCGCCCATACCCTTTGGAAATGCGTGTCAAAGCTTAAAAGGGTTGCTCCATCTCTCTATGGCTCCTGCCTACTCACACTGGGACAAAGTGGAGCGCCAGAAGAGTACAGTAGAAATGTTAAATAGAGACAAAAGCAAATATATGTTATTCAACCACGAGTCTATCATTGTGCCTCTCCCTGTAGCTTGTCCAAACACCTGTGCGCACCTGCTTGTTATTCACAATTGCACGTTCTAAGAATGCTTTGAAGTATTGATGCCGCACCGTCGCCTTTCATCATATTTCTCAGAGAATGCACACACTTAGGACAATGCACAGGAACACAAAAATATTCATATAAACATACATCTGATGCAAATTGTTGTGTTGTGTCTTTTCTCACGCAGTTGATGAAATAATCACCTCAAACATTAAACGTTGAAGTGTTTGACTATTGCATATAACGCCCCTTAAGCAAAATTGAACAAAACCGTTGTCATGCGGTTTGTTTTGTCTTTTGGTGTGCATACGTTTCAAAATTATATACTATACAACACAACCATGTCATCTCTAACGCACAATGGAGCTTGTTTGTAATGCCATCATTAGTTTGGCGGACATGTTTCACTTTTCTTTCTTTCTTTGCCACATTGTCCAATGCAATCATTTAGAGTGTTGTAATAATGGCTCCAATTCATTTGGTTGAAAATGACCATGACTAATGCAGTGATGTTTGGTAATATTTGTTATTTTCCACAAGATAAAATAGTTATATATATGTTTTTATTTTTTATTTTAAGTCTCTCCATGGCCTCGCATCAAAATATATTAGTGACATGTTAGTCCCATATGAACCAGCCTGGACTCTGAGGAGCACAGGGACTGGACGCCTGTTAGTGCCCAGAGTCAGGACTAAACATGGGGAGGCTGCTTTTCAGATTCATGCTGCTAAAATCTGGAACAGTCTTCCTGAAGATGTGAGACAGGCCTCCTCAATGACAATGTTTAAAACCAGGTTTAAGACAGTTCTGTTTAGCTGCATACAACTGAGGGATTTTATATTTTTATCTTTCTTTTTAATGTTCTGTGATTATTTATGATTTTAATGCTTTCTTGTTCAGCACTTTGAGTTGCCTTGTGTATGAACTGTGCTATACAAATAAACTTGCCTTGCCTTGCCTATTTTTATTTTATTTTGCGAACGAGATGAGATGCTTTTTCTGCAACTTTCTGCTCGTAAAACATCTGAAAAAGGGATTGATTTACTTTAACTATATCATACATTATTTTTGTTTTGCTTGTATTGTAGTTGTACAAAACTAGAGGCACACATTTAGAGGTGTGTACTTCTTTTAGTAAGTAAGTAATGTTTAATTATATAGCGCATTTTACAGACCAAGGTCACCCAAAGCAGTTCAGACACTGTTCCAATAATTCCACACACGGTGATGACGGAAGCGAGTCGCCGAACACACTGGACCATCAGCCCCCAATCAACACCATCCATTCACTCTCTCATTTACATTCATACCTATTGTGTACCTATTTTGTTCTCCAAAAGAACCACACAGTAGTCACAGGTGGCCATGATGTAGAAATTTAGCATGAAAGTGTTAGCAAAGACAAGAAATAAAGTTATTATGAGATTATATTTGTCCTGCAGTTTCACAGCTAAAGACATTTCTGGCATTTGTAAAGGCTAATAAAAGTGCTACTTGAGAAATCGCATTAATTTTTGTCATTGAGAAGCTCCAAAGCACGAAGAACATAAGTAAGTGGTTGATTTATGTCTGTCAAGTTTACAAAGGATATGCATCTATACAATTTATCTAAATGGAAACGGGTGAGAACGTTTCTAAATTAGAATCCTCGAAACTTGACCAATATGAAGTCGCTTAACCCCTGATGTCACAAACACAAGTACCACCAAAATAACTGCTTTGATCAAAGACTTTTCTTTCTACAGTAGCACAACAAAAGGCACATCAGTAAAACTCTGCTATAATCGAATGTCAAAGCGGCTTGAGTAAGGCGATTTGAAGCCTCCAGACTTCACAGAGGGGGGTCTGCTGTTAAAGTCCCATTTCTCAGACTGCGCTGATTACTTGGTAGAAACTCGAAAATTAAATTGTCACAGAGCGCGTGAGCTATCCGCGTATGAGCGTAGTGTCTATTATGGACTGCTGACTTACTGACCACACCGAACAAGGCTTTTATGTGAACTATATACGCTTTGCCACTGGCCTCACACAAGCTTTGTTTGCGGATGTGAGCGCCCTCTACACACATGCAAACAGAGATGGGAATGGTGTACTTACGGGATGGGCCGACTGCGATGGAGTGATGCGTGATAAAGATGACATGAAAAAAGAGAGAAGAGATGGATGAGATTGAAGAGCAGATGACGTATTTGGACAAAGACGACGTGAAAGTCAATTATGTCAGTTAGTCACAATTTATAGTGTTTCAATGTAAATGAACATAAATATATGGCTGCAGTAGGGAGTTGAAGGGAAAATTACAGGATATGGGCTGTGATTGATGTGTGGTGGGGGAAAGTAAAGTGGAAGTATATGTGAGGATTTTTCCTTGTGTGCCGTGTGGCGTTCTTGCGATAACCCACAATCAATCTTTTATAGAAACATGCCAGCTATTGGAGCTAGTGTTGCCCATATGTTAATAAAATCAGCACTGCCCGGCAAAAAGTTGGTAGTATAACATCTATTAAAAGTAAAGATAGTATTGCTAGTGAGATCAACCAAGCAATTCCAATATAAGTCAACCAAAATCAACATTGCATCCTGTCCCCTGCACAGTACGACCGCAGCAAGAGCCGAAATACTGAGAATTAGGATCAAGGAAAAAAATGGTTGGATTGTGATATTAGTTAAGCCGATATCCTGATTGAGCAATTTTAGTAATGATTTATTAACAGATGTCATAAAGTTTGAACGTTTACCACTTACAAGGTTGTGTTGTACTGTCTTTTGTAATAAGTTGGCTGTAAATGTAGGGGGAAACTGATTTTCTGTCTCTTCACTGGGAATGGTTCACATTGGTCATTGGTCGATATTGAAAGCCAAAGCATTTAAAGGCTTTTCTGACCGGAAAAAGCTGGATTTTTTTATAGAGTCTCCATGGTGGCAAACAGGTCTCAATGGTTGCAAAGTGCAGCATGAATGAAAGAATGTTCAGTATGTGTATGCCCTTTATGCTGCTGTCTATGGGGCTTTGCAGTGAGAAAAGCAAGAGCACATTGAATGCATTAAAACTGTATTAGAGCGGACGCAGCTCTCCACTCGGCTCATGTAATCAAGTGTTCCAGAACAAAACTCTAAATATTCTCTTTTATCATCATAAATGACAGATTTCTCATCCCAGCCCCTCTCTTCAGGGTACTGACTTTATTCTAATGCAATTTCACTGCTTTTTGATCTTTGTGCGCTCTCAGGAGGGATGACGAGCCGACGCTTGAAAGACCTTAAAATCCATTTCTCACTATAACAGTATGCGATCAGAAAGTGTACGCTTCAAGCCGCAGACTACATATCTGTTTTTCATCTCTGCTTATTTATTTTTAGGCTCTAACCTGCCTAGAAGTGACGAAGAATAGGCTCTATGACATTTGATGTTGGCATTTAAGTTTCTTCGGTAGGTTTGAGGCTGTCTTTCTGTTAAGTGTTGAGGCAGCGTGCTAGGAGTGGGCAGTCAGTCACAGCGTTGCATCATGGGTAAAGTGTCCATCTGCATGAATAATTTAATCTACATTATTCAGAATGTGAGGGTAAGCCAAACAGACTCCTTTAACTTGTTTTCAAGTTATTCATCAGAGGTGCCATTTATTTTGTATTATTGTGGACGCCTCAAGCTATTTGTAAATGGATGTCTTGCTAATTGGCAGCGCCGCAGTGGTAGTGCTCCCACGAACACTGTGCTGCTTGGCATTTTGATTTCAGCTCCCTCCAGAAAATTGCAATGCTTCCACATCTTGGTTCCAATGCACAATATCTTTTAACACATAGTTGTTTTATGTTTTCAAATCCAAGTCCAATAAACCATTTCCGTCATAGCAGATACTTTGGGGTTGAAACATGTCTATTGTTTTAAAGCTGGGGTTCCTAACTTTATTTTTTCATAAATTGTGCAATCTGTGTGTGCCAACAGAAAGAGTCTTGTAATAGAATAACGTGAATAAATCAGACCACACCGTCTTCCCCTTTTCTCTTTGCCACACCCTTATATCCGCTTTTACAAAGGCCAAACAATACATGCATGTGAAAACTAGGGGTATAACTAAACTTTTTGAGTATGAGGACTTAGTTACTTGAATTCTATCCATTGTTCAATTTTTGGAAGCTTGAAAAGTTGGGTACCCCAGCTGTTCAATAAGCATTACTGGTATCAAGAGAATGCACAGACATAATATGATAAGATAATGCATCGTATAGCTCCTAACAAAGTGAAAGGAAAAATGTGACGGCATAAACTCCCCCATTGGCGTTGCATAGATTTGTGACCTACCGTGAACTTGCAACGTCCCAGAGGCCTCGGCTTTGCCCACGCTGTTCTCCGAAACACAGGTGTAAGTGCCCTCGTCCTCGGCCCGCACCTGAGTTAAGCGCAAGCTGTTGTCGCTGCGGATCTCAAATCTGAAAAGACATCGGTACAGAACACCTTTACCAGCGGATTAGGACTCAAAGGTGCACAAATGTGTTCAAGATGACAGGATCTAAAATCGGGAGGTGACACTAACAAAACATTTTTTCTGACTTTTACTCTACAAAGCACATTTTGCTAGCCTGACTCTCGCCAGACCCATGTAGTTCGCTGCACTTCACACGAGTCTGGTACTGGGCCATAGTGGTTGGATTTCAGAAGGCAGGGCCTTGTAAAAAAAATCCTTATATGTGATTGGATAGACCACTTGTTCGTTATCTTGAATGAAGTCTGCTTTCAACCACTCACATCAAAGCACACGGCTCCCATAGGTTGCCAAATCCCAGCAATATTTTCCAACCCAAAATCCGCGAGAAAACCCAAAAAAAAAAAAAAAAAAAAACACTCAATGATTTTTTTGGCTAAAAACTTAATATAATCAACTTGGGCTATCATGATTCTGTTTATTGTCTTTCTGTTTATTTAATACCTACAAGTCTCTTGGAAAAAAATATGCGGGAACCACCAAACCTGGCAACCCTGCTGCATAGTGTGTAAACAGGAACACTGAACCAGTGCTTCAACCAAACTTTACAGGAACATTTGACTCTTAAAACACACATATATCAACATAGAACCATCTACATCTCGCCTCAAATTGCATTAAAAGTGACATCCGTGTCTTAATTCGATCGTATTTACTCTTTTAAAAAGATTCGCGGACTTTACGTCCGCCATCTTGGATTCCTCTCGCTGCTGCATGAGAGAAGCTTGAGAATGCAGTGCAAACCCCACGTAACACCGGCAATCCTGATTGGCCGATTAAAAAATAATCTGGGGAAGGCGTTCGCTATGGCGTCGATACCAGACCCATGTGGTTCAGCCAAACGCCTCTGGTGGAGCATGGCGGAACTACAAGGGTCTGGCAGAGCCAGGCTACATTTAATGCTACAAAGCTGCAGATGATATTGTATCTAAATTCAATGCAGTATTAAGGAAATGTATCAAAAGGGCAACAGTGGCTCAGTTGGTAGAGCATTGGTCTTTGAGCTCAAAAGTCGTGGGTTCGAGCCCACTACAAAAAATTCTCCACCACCTCCACTGATGTTTGCTGCTTGCCTTGTACACTGAAAAAAGTGACAAAACATAAGGTAATACATGCACAAATCAAGTATTTTTTTTATCTTAATTTGAGTATATTTTGACTTTCTTAAAACAAGATTTTCCAACGGAACAAGCCATTTGGTCTTTTTTCAAGTGCTGTTGCGATTTTTGTCTCATTCCAAAGGGAGACATTTCTTGATTTGTCTTATACCGTTTTAAAACAAGACATTTTTTCTTGTCCCAATGTCAAATCTTGTTTTTAGACTGTTAAAATGTGCACAAATTGAGATAAAACCACTTGATTCAAGCATTTATTTATTTAACTTATATTTTGTCATTTTTTGCAGTGTATGTGTATGTGTATATGTGTATGCATCAAACAGAAATTTCCCCATTGTGGGACGAATAAAGGACCTTCTTCTTCTAAAAGAAATTCAGCACACTACAACCCTCACAAACTATGTATTTTACAAAAAGTAAAGGTTGTATGAAAGAGAAAATAATCGTGAAAATCTGACCATAACATGCTGTCTTTATTTTAATAGAAATTGTGCTCTCTTTGTGCTCTCTCTCTCTGCGTTCTTGACGAGAGAGTCACTACACTTTGGGCTGAGAGCTGGTTGGCTAGTACATAGTAATAGTGGTCCTCTCTTTTTCTGCCTGTAAAAAGCTGATCTAAAGGTTTAGTCCAAAAGTACATGCTTTTGAAAAAGAATGATAAAAACCAATCATTTTGAGAGAGGATCTAATTTGATTGATTTTAATACATATATCCATTCTTAAAATAAGATATACTAAAATGAAACCTCTCCATCCAATTATAGAAACAATTGCCTTTAAGCGTTTGGGGATAGTATATTTGGTGTTCAGAGAGAAAGATAAGAATGCGTGGGTGAAACTATCCATCATAAAGTTACCCATTCTACACCCATAGATCAAAATAGTGTACAGGACCTTTCACACATATAAAACAGTTCAAAATAAGTGCTGCCAGACGTCTCGATGCACAATGTCAAACTTAGCTCAGCTCTCCTATCAGAGCGGATGACTGCGGGGCGCGCACAAGACAGCTGCCATTAATATAAGAAATAGCTTTTTAACTACACTGCCCGCGGACTACTGGGGACTGAGAGAGTTGTCTTGTGTCGCTTTAGGCCACCGACACCAAATACTGTGCTCGCATCGAAATCCCGCTGACAACAAGGGACCATTTGAGCCCATTTACCCCAAGGCTTCATTAAAGTTTCATCCAATCACATCCACCAAGTGTCTGAGAGAGTGACTTTTACGACACCGGCCTTCAATATGAACCGGACTCCTTATCCACTCGTATGTCATAGGAGTCTGGTTTAGTGCGTTCTTTGGGGCATTGTTGGATTAAAGATTCGGTGTGTATCGTGCCCGTCTCGATGGAGATGTATTGATTTTCCCGGATATTTTTCAGCGCGACACTAAACCTTAAAATCCATTTTGAGTTATTGATATACAATTGTCTGTGCACTTTAAAAACAATAAGTCAGCATGAATACGCTTGCTATTTCACCTAACCTTAGAGGTGAAGTATTATGCAATATCAACTGTTTTGATGTTTTAACCATGTTGTGTTTGCTGCTGTTAAAATTCCAATTTAGAAAAAAATGGAACTAATTTTACCCTTACGTCTGGAGGGAGAATAGGGACATGGCAGGAAATATCTGTATTTATCCTCATATCAAGATTTATTTTTTTGGTCACACGACAATGTTAAAATTGTGCCATATCAAGCATCCTCCCGGAGTTGTATCTGACTGTCGACGGGGGGCAACGAGCTGCTCACAACTCTCCAGATGAACACACAACTGCTGATTGTACGATGGCAAGGCTTCCAAACCTGTCTGAGACTTGTCATGAGCTGGGCGCTGCTGAAGTGCTGTCAAAGCAGTGCAAACACTGTGAAGTATCGCTGAAGATGAGAGTAAACACGATGCTGGACTGGAGGAGGACTGGGAGCTCTGAGGTGAACTGGGAAACAAATGCCTCTGAACTCTTAGTCCTCTTACTGCAAGTGCTGCTGTGTATTGGCCAGGACTCTCTTTCAAAAGATATGAAAGAGTTTTTTTCATCTTGGATAACTAAAGCCTAGCGTACATCGGACTGGCAACTGATTATATCCGTCGCATATGAGTTGCTGCCCCGCACACATCGACAATCTGACGAAAACGGGCAACTCTGAGTTGCAGGCCAGTCTCTTGAATAACAGCGCGTACATCGACAGCAACTGGCCTCAACTACAGTGTGTTTTCTGACATAAACTGTTGCGGGCGCGCTATACACGCAATACACACACGTTGTCGGAGCGGCGCATGGAGCGCGCACATCGGGGCAACTGAGGACAACTAGTTGCCGAAAAGTAGAACACGGGCAACTGACTGGAACTGGAGACCGACTGATCATCTCCAGTTGTAAGAGCGCGCACATCGACCGATTTTGGCAACTGATCATCTCCCTCCATCTCCTCTCAGTTGCCAAAAGCCGCCTTGCAACTAGTTGTCCCCAGTTTCTCTGTCGATGTACGCTAGGCTTAAAGGTTAAAGTGCAAAGTTGTCGTCTGACCTTACGTACAGGTATCTTTCATTCATTGCAAATATTACCTGTTTGTTCATGCATTTATGTGATGTTCGAAGTGCAAACGCTCGAAGAGAAGCGGCTACACACAACAGTCCACAGCATCAATGGGGTCATGTCTCTCGTGCAGTGTGAGCAGGTAATCGCATGCCTCTAGCGCCCACTCCCATCATTTTCCTCCGATATGGATGAGTGTTTGTTTGAGACCCATTTTGCACATCAAAAGTGACGAAATTGCACAGTGTATGTCCAGCTGTATGTGGCATATGGACATTTATCATGAACTGCTGCTAACATAATTTGTTTCAATTAGCACCTGTGTTACTGGTTACCAGCTGAGAATTATTTGTAGATGTTTTGATGCAGACAACATATTTTACCTTAAAGCTGGTTTTGTACCTGACATGGGCAAAACCGTATTTACCAGTAAACACCAGATTTTGGTGTAGAACATAAAAATGTACAATGTCCCCACATAGATCGACTTAAGCCCTCGGGTAATTTTCAGGTTAAATAGCAGAAATACCATCAGCATTTGCCACTCAGGCTTAATCTCATTTAACCTTCTTACCTTTCACCCATGACAAAACACCCTGTTAAGTGCATGTTACGCGTTTCAATTTACCACCCAACCACTGTGCAGCGGCTGTAACGTAATTCAATGCTCTTTTGTTTTGACCCACCTTCCCCGGGGCAGCTCCCCCTCGTCTCTTCTCCAGCGCATGGTCGGCGTGGGGTCCCCGTACACCTCGCAGAAAAAGTCCACCGTGTCATTTGCCAACACCACCTGATTCACGGGCTGCTTGGTGAACACTGGCCTCTCTGTCAACAAAGAACAAAAAAACAAGTGTTAGGGATATCAATGTCTCAGAGCTGGGGTCCCTCCTTTACAAGCCACATAACAATGGGACTTCACATCCCCTTATTCTCCTGCATGTGTTTTTTAGCTTCTGTCACAGCTTCTGTCATCAGCTTTTTCAAGACAGTAAAGAGAAAAAGAGAGGACCAAGCTCACTCACCCAATCACCTCTCAGCCCAAAGTGTTAAAAAGTGACTCATGGGGCTCTTTCTTAAAACTAAAGTAGTCTGAGATGCTTACAACATTTTATGTGCACTCTTAAGACTCTTTTTGTCGGGACAAACACATTATTTATGAAGGGGAAAAAGTTAGGTACTCCAGCTTTAGCGATCATTGTGACAAAGGCAATTTTCTCGTCAAATTTTGCAAAGTTCCGCAAATTGTATCTCTATTTCAGTGTATTCCTCCTGGAGCCGGCACAAACTTCAAAAACTTGAAAAAAGAAAGCAATTTCACACTTGAACTGACAATTACATGCTTTCGCTAAGACTAGCCCTTCCTGTTGGCTTGTAAAAACAACATATACTCCAAGCAAAATAAATACTGCTTCTTTCCGTTTTTGCTAATTCACATTTTTTTAAACCGGTAATCCACTTTCATTAATGATAACATAAAGTTATTTGGAGATACATTCTCACCACACAATAGACTATTATATGTTACGATTACTATAATTCATTGCAATTATAACATGAGATAAATCAGTGACTGGAGATGTCAATTTTATTTGGTTAAACGGTGCAAGATGGCGTGATTGAGAGAGAATGGCATAGAAATGGTGGCGCCTGCGGTGTGGGAGAGTGGATTTTTCGATGCTCCGATTCTCTGGAGTCTGCAAACTAATGCGAGATTAATTGGCAAACTTGGGCGTAAACAAACTTTGGAATTGATGGAGCTGCTTAAAGGGAACTGTGGGGATACAGCAAATAAGAGTAATAGCAGCGGGACGTAGATAATCTCAGGGAGTGGACTGGGATTCAATGATTAAACAGGTATTTAAGGTTGTGTTTTTGCTACTTAAGGTAAATAATGAGGCTAATAAAGAAAGTTTGTATAAATGGGTGATGTAAACGTGGGTCATTATTCTAACCCACGAGTCCGAGCTACAGTCCGTGCCACTTCAGACCTTTCTTAAAGAAGGCTGCTTTTGTCTGCTGCGTATGATAATCCTGGATCATTCACTGACATTTCCCTACAGAGGGATGATTAAAGGTTCTCTAACCTTAATATATATTTTAGTGTCTCAGCCTTGATCTAAAATGGCTTAAGAAAAGAAGCCATCTGACTAGTGTTGCTGCAGTACTACTATGCTAATACAAAACCGATACCACAGTCGGTTATTAGTAAATACTTTTTTGTGGTCAATAAACTAATTATTTACCAAAAATAGTAAAGTTTTATGGGGGTCCCGAGGTTCTTCTAACATACAGTAACATGTATCAAATGCTGTACTGTGTGTAATAATTGTTAGTATCTAGACTGGCACAAATTGCTACCCGTTTTCCATCCTAGTTTTGGGATTGATTAATAACTGATTTTTGATACCGTACTTACAAATTGTCATCACGCAGCAGATCATGGTCAGTATTAGTCAGATAGATGATTAATCAATATATGACTAAAACCTGTAAAAATTATTATATATTGTATTAGAACACAATAAGAGTGTGTGGAGAAAATGAAAAGATAATTTAATCCAACTTAGGGGGGGGGGGGGGGCAAAATATATCGTAGACAATAATATCGTGAAAGTAAATTTGAAGATATGCTTTTTTGTATTATCGTCCTTTTTCTTTTTACATACATATTACAGTTAGAGAAGGACAGATGCCCATTTGGTCTAAAGTGTGCCTAAAAAGCCAATCACTGATTTATTGTACATTTCAGTAAATATTTCTGTTCTGTCTGTGTCACTTGAATTTGATCTTTAATGTTAATATTAGTGCTGTCCAACAATTAAAATATTTAATCGCGATTAATCGCATGAATTTCATAGTTAACTCGCGATTAATCGCAAATTAGTCACCCATTTGCGTGCTGTGTGCAATTTCTTTTTTTATTGAAAACAATGTGTAGTGTTATATTACACACTAACATTTGATGCAAAATCATCAATAAATGGATGACAAAATAAATAATTGGTAACAAAAAGCCCCTTCAATGTGTGTGTGTGTGTGTGTGGAGTGTGTGTGTTTATGGGTGTGGGTGTGTGTGTGTGTATGTGTGGGTATAGACCATAGACTGTATAGAAACATCATGGTGTCATTATGATGATGATAAACAATTTTTTTGTAAATTTGTTCATGTAAATACTCTATAGTGTTTCTCTGTTTACTTTCGGTATATCTATGACTGTATACTGTTTGCTTGTATTGCCTTTTTTATTAACCCCTCCCCCCCATCTCCCACTTCATGTCCCCCCCCCCCCCCCTCCTATGTGCCCTTCTGGGTTTCTTCTTTGGCCCCCTGTATCTCCAACTACATATTGTTTGTAATCTCTGTCTACAATGTATCTTAACTAGTCCTTTTCTTTGTGTCTATTTTTTTTCTGTATATGTGTTTGTCTGCAATAAAAAGTAAAAAAAAAAAAAAAAAAAAAATTTTTTTTTTTTTTTTTTTTAATAATTATAAAAAAAATTAATGGCGATAAAAAAAATGACGCTGTTAATATTGATTTGCGTTAACGCGTTAATAACGCGATATTTTGGACAGCACTAGTTAATATATGTTTGTGCATGTTTTTCAAATAAGTGTGAAGCTTCTATTTAGATCTACACTGTCTCTGTCTATATATGCCCTGGCAGCAAAACATTACAGATCATTTTGTGTAAAAATTATTGATTTTAAGATATCGTGACAAAATCGTTATCGCTTTTGTCCATATTGCCCACCCCTAATTCAACTTTATAGTTATAGTTATTTAATGCATTATAAAAACAACATAGCTATTTTTCATGAGTACAAATAATGAGGTCGGTCCACATACAGTGCCTTGCGAAAGTATTCGGCCCCCTTGAACCTTTCAACATTTTGCCACATTTCAGTCTTCAAAAATAAAGATATACATTTTTTAATTTTTTGTCATGAATCAACAACAAGTGGGACACAATCATGAAGTGGAACAAAATTTATTGGATAATTTAAACTTTTAAAAAAAATAAAAAACTGAAAAGTGGGGCGTGCAATATTATTCGGCCCCTTTACTTTCAGTGCAGCAAACTCACTCCAGAAGTTCAGTGAGATCTTTGAATGATCCAATGTTGTCCTAAATGACTGATGATGATAAAGAGAATGCACCTGTGTGTAATCAAGTCTCCGTATAAATGCACCTGCTCTTTGATAGTCTCAGGGTTCTGTTTAAAGCGCAGAGAGAACCATGAAGACAAAGGAACACACCAGGCAGGTCCGAGATACTGTTGTGGAGAAGTTTAAAGCCGGATTTGGATACAAAAAGATTTCCCAAGCTTTAAACATCTCAAGGAGCACTGTGCAAGCAATTATATTGAAATGGAAGGAGTATCAGACCACTGCAAATCTACCAAGACCCGGCCGTCCCTCCAAACTTTCATCTCAAACAAGGAGAAGACTGATCAGAGATGCAGCCAAGAGGCCCATGATCGCTCTGGATGAACTGCAGATAACTACAGATGAGGTGGGAGAGTCTGTCCATAGGACAACAATCAGTCGTGCACTGCACAAATCTGGCCTTTATGGTAGAGTGGCCATTTCTCAAAGATATCCAATAAAAGTCTCTTAAAGTTTGCCACAAGCCACCTGGGAGACACACCAAACATGTGGAAGAAGGTGCTCTGGTCAGATGAAACCAAAATCAAACTTTTTGGCCACAATGCAAAACCGATATGTTTGGCGTAAAAGCAACACAGCTCATCACCCTGAACACACCATCCCCACCTCAGCTGTAGTTATCTGCAGTTCATCCATAGTGATCATGGACCTCTTGGCTGCATCTCTGATCAGTCTTTCTCCTTGTTTGAGATGAAAGTTTGGAGGGACGGCCGGGTCTTGGTAGATTTGCAGTGGTCCAAAGTGTCCCACTTGTTGCTGATTCATGACAAAAAATTAAAATTTTATATCTTTATGTTTGAAGCCTGAAATGTGGCGAAATGTTGAAAGGTTCAAGGGGGCCGAATACTTTCGCAAGGCACTGTACATGACACCAAACTACACCTGGAAGTGGCATATTTCTTGCAGCTATCAATTCCTTCACAAAATAGTGATAGTAAGAGTACTGCAGCAGAAGAGTTTTTCTTTTGTATCCAGGCAAACGCAGGAGTAACGCAGTTGTCATTAAACATACAGTGTAAAGAAATACATGTGCACGTAGATAAAAAAAAAACACTGCTTTCAAATTCACTTTTGTCTGTGCGTGTTCTGAGCATTATGCAGAAGGAAAAGCATATGGGCCAGGTCAAAGGGAAGTCTGTGGAGAAAATATCAATTTTCTATTTATTTCCTGAAATCAATACGAGCTCTCGGAAGCCGTGTGCGGCCGCTCTGTTGAGAAGCACAGGGCAGGAGGGTCAAAGGAACAAAACAAGAGTCAGGATACGGAGAAAAATCAGTCTACTCCTTCACGAGAACAAGATGTGACGCAAACAAACCAACTCAATCAATGGATTCATTTAAGTTGGAATTTCAGAGAGTTTTATTTACAAAACTATTGAGGATCCAGGTTCTTTTTATATTGACAGTTTAATGTTTGGCATCTTGGCTGGTTAATATATTTATGACAATGTTTTTTTTTTTTTAAGTAAGTTTTAAAGCTCTAATTTTCAATCCACTTTAATCAATTCATTTTTTATTGCACTGAATGAGTTACTACAACTCATGGGAATGCACTTGTTGGTTTTGTCCATTGTAAAGCCAAAATGTGTACATCATGTATGTATTTCACCGCAGAATGTATAGAAACTTTTGTTATTTTTCCTTCAATAATATCCTGCAACTCAAGAAAACTCAACAAACAAAACAAGTTCATAATAAAAACAAAACTCACCAAATACCACCAGCTCTGCGGGGTCACTGTCCTTCTCTCCCACCATGTTGGTTCCAACGCACACGTACATCCCGGCATCGCTTTTCCTCGTGTTGGAAATCATCAGCTTCCCCCCTCGAATCTGGAAGAAGGAGATTTGAAATAAATTGTAGAGGAAATTGATGAAAAGCATGATGGGAAAAGAGGTGTGGGTGGAATGGGAGATTAGATGATAGAAGAGAAATGAAAGCAACTTTGAAAGGTGATAGTGATGCATGTTGGGGTGGACGCCGGCTCCTCACTCTTCCGCCGGCTTGACAGATGGGAGAGATTTTAGAAGGCTTGTAGCTTTAGGCCAGAGCGCCATAGTAACATGTTTGTGTTGGGAGAAGGTAAGAACTGATTCATCATTCTGTGTACTCCTCCGCATTGGTGAAAGTTACACTGTCTTCGGTCCGTTCGCTTCGAGAGACTGCATCGCCGATAATCAATGTGTTTCATCAGCAATTGTCTTGATGCGATCAACAATGATGGAGTGATATTGATGTAAATGCCCAATAACCAATAACAAGTGCGGATGAAGCTAGTAGGTGGAGAAGTTTCCTGACCACGTTATTGAGCGTTCTGGCTTATGGGGATGATCTTAGAAATTGCAATCATGGAGCTGCAAAGTGGCACATTGTTTGGGTTCTGGAAGTAAAATCCCCCATTCAAAAGCCCCATAAGGACCAACTAAAACATTTGATTCCGGGGGCTGCCTTGAAATCAAGAGTTGAGAGTTTGAACAGTGTGGTTTCACTCAATAAAGATCAATTGGGATGCAAATTTGTTGATTAGGTGGCCGTTTTAAACATTTGAAAAATATAACTTTATATACTAATGAGTATTGTACCCATTTCTCATCACATAAAATATCAGCCCAGACATTTTTTTTCAATCTTTATATCATATTTATCTATTCAAGAGCAGAGAAAAAGGTCAGAATAAAGCGGGTACTCCACTTTTTGACCTGTCCTGCTCCACCCAGAGGCTACTCCACCTCTGCTGCTGTGACCCGTCCTGCTCCACCCAAAGGCTACTCCACCTCTTCTGCTGTGACCTGAAAGGCTGTTGCTGATTATTACTATTATTATGTTTTTAGAATGATACATTTTATTTTTATTTTTGCTGCTACTGGACACTTGAATTTCTCCTACGGGGATCAATAAAGTATCTATCTATTTTCCCCAAATCTCTATGGGGGATTTGCATGAATTTTTTCTTTGTGGAACCAGGAGGAGACCAACCTCTTTGCAAGGCCATTCCGTACTTCATTTACTAACTGCAATTCCACACCATTTACTTGGCTTGTCTTGAATAGTGCCTATGATTTCTCATTGAAAGTCAGTCCTTCAGTGCGAAATCTAGGCTTTCTTGTAAATAATCACAATAGCACACAGCATGCTCGGGTTTGTGACTTCCATTATAAAATATTCTGACTTAAGTATCATAAATGGTTGCCCAGCAGTTTATTGGGTTGGTCCACGGTTTCATTGTTTAATTTTTTTCTAACATTGCATATGTATCTGAGTTTTTTGTTCTGCTGCCTGAATCATGTCAAATTTCCATGTTAACGTTTGCTTTTTGACCTTCCATTTCGAACACTGTAGCACTTAGCACATTCATTTATGCACCACTAAGGTTTTCAAACCACTAATAGGCGAATAACTAAGCTCATCTGAGGAGACTGACATTATTTATTTTAGCAGATCAAGGTTCTTTCCATCTCTACTGATTAATGACTGCAGTGCAAATAAATTGGAACTGTGACTTCACACAAAACAAATTAAGTTGAATTTAAATATTTCAAGATATTAAGCACAAAACATGTATTCTGACAATATGGTGCAGGGGTCATCAATCATAATGACCAGTTCATTTCACCTATAAACTATTTGGAATAGTCTATCAAAACCCTTCCTTAAAACGAGTTGTGAACATTCAAACCCTGGCTCTATTATCTTTTATTCTAGAAACTTCCAAACTATGGCCCTGGGAAAATTGCGGTCCACAATACTTTATTGTTGACCTTCTGATCCTGCTGCTATGATCAATGATGAGTTGATAATTGAATAATCCAAGGTTCTCACCATCATCAAGCACCAAGCAATCCATTTTAAAGACGAGGCTAAGAAACACACATTAAACCAATACGGCCCCATTTGTCCATAAAGCATCCAGATTTTTTAAAGTCTGATGTCCAAATGTGAGTTCAGCTCCAGTGGTAAAGAGTTCCACAGCTGTGAGGCCTTTACTGAGATCGCCAACCGACCCTGACTGACGCACAGACTGAGAGTTCCAGCATCTTTTTACTCTGCAGCTGGAGTCCGCGCACCTTCACTACTGTAACTTTGCATTTTTTTCACATCAAATCCCCTTAAGACACTTAGAAATTTATCTTACAATGTCCCCACTCAGGAGTCAAAATACACTTAAGAGTAATAGCGGTGAAGAAGGAGCCTTTTGACGTTGTTGGTTGTTTCTCTTTATTAGAAAAGAGGTCAATTGATTGGAACGACTCAAGAAAAACACAAAAATCACAGCATCAGGGTAAAAAGCCTCTGACCCTCCGCAAAACGCTTAATCCTTTTTTTGGTTGTCCTTTAGAAATGTTAAACATGGAATAAACATCTGGAGGCTGGGTCCATCTGACTTGAGCAAAATTCAACCATTGGAAAATATAACATTACTAATACTGTGTTTATGTTCACGTTTGGCTCCACTTGGCTTGCAGTTCACCACATGGCCCTTGATCTGAAAAGTTTGGGCGCCTGTGTTCTATCCAACGTACCGTGATCCTCTCGTCGCGGTCGTTCACTTTGATGTTGTTCCTCTTCCAGGAGATGGTGGGCTCCGGGTGGCCTCTGGGTGGGATGCACTCCATGACCGCTGGTTCTCCTGCTGCCACCACGACATCGCTGGGGGTCTGTCTGAAGTCGTCCCTCAAGACTGTAGGAATAGAAAAGAAAAAGAGATATATTAGATGCAGTGAATCAATACCTGCTGGAATTACATAGACACCTGACCTTTTTGACAATGACAGCATTAAAATTGAAATGATCATCCCCGTCATGTTGGCGTGATTGCCCCTGGTATGCGAGGACAGAGGCTAGTGATGCAACATAAATAATATAACTTAGCATGGTCCATGTCTCTAAGGGTCTTCATTGACTCCATGTCTTATAAAGCAACGCTGCGCATCAATAATATAGGCTCTGGTAGCTGACGCACACAAAAGCCAGATGAATAATTCAGACCAACCCACACACATACAAGCTAGCAAAGTCCCTTGGTGAATGCAGGGGCATAAATCCACTTGTGGTCAACCAAACAAGCCACTATTCAAACAAGTGTAAGACATAGATCAACATGGACGTGATGCTTTGGTGTTATTTTCATTTTGGACAATAATCACATTTCCCATGCTCATTCATAAAACATGGTGACATTTTTCTCTCGTGAAATCAGGACAAGTAATTTCCTTTTAAATCTCAGCTGTTGTCAACAACTAGTGTCCCATACTACCTGAAGGCAGGGGGCTTTTCCCTGATCTCATTCCGGTCTCCAGAGCTCCACAGCCCTCTCCGATTTCACAAGTGGAGGATGGTTTTGCAGTTAAGGATGATGTACTGACAACAGTGTTCTACCAGGGGAGGCCAAAGCCACGCAAGGCCTGCAGGCTACAAGTCTGGCCTAAGCCACTCATGGGACTCAACAAAGAGTCTGCACCAGCGCGACGGCTCCAGTGGCATTTCTCAGAGGATTAAGTGTAATGTTGAAGTCAAAAGATATACATTCTAGATGTGTGCTTAAAGATGAAGATCAAATTAAAACTAAATGAATATACGCACTGCACACTAAATAAAAAAAGCAACAATCTAATGAACCATTTGGATCTAACATTAAATCGGAAAATGAAATACTGACAATCAATCCACAATTGAGACAGATATAAATGTTAATAACTATTGTGAACAAATTTGTGATTTCATACAAAACCAAATGCTTATTTAAATTTTGCAAGGGATATCTTTTAAGTTCATATTTTCTCCTCTCAATAAAAAGTCTTCAATATTGTGGTATATATGCATGACTGATCATTTATTGATGCCTGTGGATAGAAGAGCTGATTTGCATGCATCATAGTTATTTCACTGATGAAATTAATAAGTCATACAGGCGTACTGCCCTCATCCCCCCATCATGCTTCCTCCTGTGTACTCAGAGGAGCTGTCGAGACACAGACATTCTTTCTTTTCTTTAACCTTAAAAGAATAAGTCAAGTCAGAAAGTGCTGCCCTGATTTCCCCAGACTGCTCTGCACTGATGTTGGAGCGGCACGACTAAAAAGCTGTCAGGAAAACAGAACCCGGTGCGTTTAAAATGCTCTTTTAAGTAAAACCAGACACTTTTGGTGTACGTTTTCAGAATTTAAATGAACAGGTGGTCATTTTTTTGACCAGACTTGTACAAAAGAAAATAAATCAACAGGCATGTTCTTCATATTTGTGAAGAATGGACAAGGTTTGACTTTCATTGCCAAAATTGATGAGCAGATTGGAGCTCTTGAGCTTTGACTTACAATGAAACCTCTTTAGAAAACCACCAAAATACAGGTATTGGAAAAATACCGTCCACGGAGCAGAGAGAAAAAAAAATACTAACGTGTTGCAGTTCCTACTATAATGTAAATATTTTTCAAATGGGGACTGAATTATGAAAAAAGTTTAAGAATTAGATCAAATGTGTGAAGGATCTGTGAGATTTCATAACACTTTGAAGCAACTTTTGTTATAGTTAAACTCATCATTCTATCAATGTGCAGAAGCCAGTACTTTTCCCTTGTTTTGTCTATCTGAAGGCCAAGCTACATGGCACCGTGGCAGCTGCTGATTGGAGGACTCCATGCCTCCGCTCTGTATAATACACTTGCATTCTGTTGTGTGTTTTGTTCGTGCTGTCTCTACCATCGACAATAAAACATGTCTTCTGTCTGAATGAAAGACGCGATCCTAGACTTTGTCATCTTCTTCAGATCTCAGTGTGAGAACAGTTTATCTGATTTCACCAAGTAATTAATAGCCTAGAATCAATGTCAGTGTTTGTTTTCCAGGATCAATGTTATAGCAATAGGGTTAGGGTTATGGCTAGGGTTCACTATGTTTAAGGTTAGAACAAGGATTAGGGTTATGGTGATATCAGACTGTTCATTGATAACATCCAAAAACATAAAGCCAGAAGATATTTAGTTGGTTTCTTGTGCAGCCTCTCTCAGTAAGACTCATCTTCAGTCTGCATGTAACCACTTGGAGGGCCACTGTCTAATCTAATAAACTATACCCCACCCATATTGACAGCACACACAGGCCAACAAAGTCTTGGGTCATTAGTATTACCACCACAGCACCCATATCTACCCCTCCATCCCACCTTCTCACCACCTGAATGAACGCCCCTGCCCACTTTTGGAGAACATTTCTTTATCTGAAGTACCTTGGCTACTGCTGGAAATTTATCACATCTGGGTGTCAGGCTCCGCGCCCTCGGGACTCATTTCTCCAGTTGTCAAGATAGCGTGGCGTCCTCTCTGAATGAGGCTGTGTGGGTGTGAGTGAGGAGATAAATCTGCCTGTTCTGTTGGTAATCAAGGTCATGGGAGACGGCCACAGCAGTGTTTAAGGAGGCACGGGGAGATTTTTCATTTCCTCATTAGCTAACAGTGCGTACGCTTGGCTGAGGGCTGATAAAAGACGCACTATTCAATGTTGCAGCTCGAGGTTTCTTCTTTATTATTCCCGTATCTCAATTGCATTTGCAGGGGGAGGGTGAAAGACACGGTGAGGTTTTTCATCTTGTTACGTGAAGATGCTAGGGTGGAGTTTGAGTGTTCTCTATACCTCAGTTCAGGTGGGTTTCCTTCAGGTGTGCAAGTTTCCCCATGAATCTTGGTTCCACCTTCCAAGTACATTTATCAAAAAGGCAGTGGCTGTTTGTTTGTCCCGTCTCTAGTCTTTGACCATTCTTCTGGAGAAGGGCGACCGGTTCTATGGTAATGATTATCCATTTTTCTCCAGTGACAATAAAGAGTTAGCGTTATATTGCAAACAAATTTCCCTCCAAGGAATAGGGACGTCACATAAATCTAATTTAAGAGTGACAATCATTGATGAGAAGAAACATAGACTTGTAGGAGTATTCACAACTAATGACGCCTTTATGAAGAAATTGTATAGATAGATATATACTTTATTGATCCAAAAAGGAACTTGTGCATTGGTCCCTTGCTCGCAATCATACAAACATAGGATAGAGTTGAAAGAGTTACAAGATTTTATTGATAGTATTGTGATGATGCATGCAATTAACTAAATAATCTGGATTCCTCTTGGGAGAAAGGGGTATGGTCAGAGAGTGTTTGGGCTTGTGTCTTGTCTCTGAGTGAGTGCGTGTGTCTTGTCTTATACCATCGGTGGTAGTGTATTGTATTTTATTATATGTACTGTACCGTATTATATTTCCCATGTGTTTTGTTGAATTATAGGATATGGTATTGCTTTCACTCTTGTATTGTGAGACATGTGTTGAATGGCTGAGAGGGAACACAAGGGGATTTCTTTCAACCAATCCTTTTTCAAACCAAGTACATCTACTCCATATCTGTCTGTGAAGATTTTTAAAGTTGTGTTGTACAGGTTTGAAGTAAATAATTCATTGGGTGGATGTGAATTACATATAGTATATTCTCTATTTCACAAGGAAGTCTCATATCGTCACTGAAATGCAGGGCTGACCATACATCCCAGTTGTTGTTCCAATCACCATTTGCACTATATTGCCCTAGACCTAATAGTGCAAGAGCCTGTCCTGTCACGCAGAAGAACAGAGGGACAGAGTGAAGAGGTGGTGGTCGGTTGTACCCCATGCCACGTGAGGTTACGGTGCATTATGGCGACCTGATCATGGCTCCTGGGGGCCCCTGATCGCTTCCATTCTCTCCTCTCTCTCCACATCTGAGCCGAAACAGCCCGAGCAGAAGTTTATTAGACACTGGCAATTACCCATAGCCTCCTCGGGGGCCCATATTAGGTGGGTGCACTTTGACCCTCCCTTAAAGCCCCTGGAACAAAGCCACAGTAATCCGCAGCAGAGGGCCCGAAAGGTGTGCTTTAATCAGAGCACTAGCACTACGGTGACACATGAGTAAGCTGCAAAGACGAGCACAGCGTACACCCGGATATGGATCTGTTTGCACAGGGGCATCAAATATGAGACCGCGGCATACGCCAATAACAAGAAGCACAGCGAATTGTCAAACCAGACACGCCACGGAATAACTTAGCGAGATTTGGAACGCAAGACAAATTTGAGATAACTTCAGGTTGCCGCCAGTGGAGCGCTCATGTTTTTAAAGTGCAGTCATTTAAGGCTTTGTCAGCGGAAAGTCTCCAATAGCCATGCTGCCCAAAAGATTGCGAAGTTGTGAGAAAGTGGTTTTCACATGCCTGTATTTTTTTGGCCTCTTTCAATCAGCTTTTTCAGACAGAAAAGTGATAGAGAGAAGACCAGCCTCAGTCGACCAATCAGCCCAAAGTATCAAGTAGTAACTCACAGGGCTCTTTTTCTATTCTATATATATATGATAACGATGTGAGACTTGTTTGCTTTTACTTTTACCTTATCTGTTGAGACAAAAAAAATTACATATATATATTTTTATATAGGTACCCCAGCTTTAAGTTTGTTGACTATTTACAACATAAGATCATAGTTATTTAGAATCTGAAACATACCAAATTCCACCCAAGGTTCCACGCACAGAAAAGTATTCAAAATGACAACTAAACATTAATATGATGTATAAAATTACCTTCAAATTATGTTCCCTGAATCCAAACAAGCTATGCCCTTTACTGCACAAATCCTCCGTCCTTGATTCATCCAGCCATTAG